TCTCTCTCTGGTCTCTCTCTGGTCCCTCTCTCTGGTCTGTCTCTCTGGTCTCTCTCTCTCTGGTCTCTCTCTCTGGTCTCTCTCTGGTCTCTCTCTCTGGTCTCTCTCTGGTCTCTCTCTGGTCTCTCTCTCTGGTCTCTCTCTGGTCTCTCTCTCTGGTCTCTCTCTCTGGTCTCTCTCTGGTCTCTCTCTCTGGTCTCTCTCTGGTCTCTCTCTCTGGTCTCTCTCTCTGGTCCCTCTCTCTGGTCTCTCTCTCTGGTCTCTCTCCAGTCTCTCTCTGGTCTCTCTCTGCTCTCTCTCTGTGGTCCCTCTCTCTGGTCTCTCTCTGGTCTCTCTCTGGTCCCTCTCTCTGGTCTGTCTCTCTGGTCTCTCTCTCTCTGGTCTCTCTCTGGTCTCTCTCTCTGGTCTCTCTGGTCTCTCTCTGGTCTCTCTCTCTGGTCTCTCTCTGGTCTCTCTCTCTGGTCTCTCTCTGGTCTCTCTCTGGTCTCTCTCTCTGGTCTCTCTCTGGTCTCTCTCTCTGGTCTCTCTCTCTGGTCTCTCTCTGGTCTCTCTCTCTGGTCTCTCTCTCTGGTCTCTCTCTGGTCTCTCTCTGGTCTCTCTCTCTGGTCTCTCTCTCTGGTCCCTCTCTCTGGTCTCTCTCTCTGGTCTCTCTCCAGTCTCTCTCTGGTCTCTCTCTCTGGTCTCTCTCTCTGGTCTCTCTCTGGTCTCTCTCGGTCTCTCTCTCTGGTCTCTCTCTCTGGTCTCTCTCTCTGGTCTCTCTCTGTAGTCTCTCACTCCAGTCTCGCTCTGGTCTCTCTCTCTGGTCTCTCTCTCTGGTCTCTCTCTGGTCTCTCTCTCTGGTCTCTCTCTCTGGTCTCTCTCTGGTCTCTCTCTCTGGTCTCTCTCTCTGGTCTCTCTCTCTGGTCTCTCTCTCTGGTCTCTCTCCAGTCTCTCTCTGGTCTCTCTCTCTGGTCTCTCTCTCTGGTCTCTCTCTCTCTCTGGTCTCTCTCCAGGTCTCTCTCTGGTCTCTCTCTGGTCTCTCTCTCTGGTCTCTCTCCAGTCTCTCTCTGGTCTCTCTCTGGTCTCTCTCTCTGGTCTCTCTCTGGTCTCTCTCTGGTCTCTCTCCAGTCTCTCTCTGGTCTCTCTCTCTGGTCTCTCTCTCTGGTCTCTCTCTCTGGTCTCTCTCTCTGGTCTCTCTCCAGTCTCTCTCTGGTCTCTCTCTGGTCTCTCTCTCTGGTCTCTCTCCAGTCTCTCTCTGGTCTCTCTCTGGTCTCTCTCTCTGGTCTCTCTCTGGTCTCTCTCTGGTCTGTGATTTAAAACTGTCTCTAAACAACTCAATCTTTTAAAAGCTCATAAAAAAACCATGTGTCGAACAGTGAGTCACACAAAGGTCAAGTTGTGCTGAAATATTCATGGTTCCTCTTCATGGTTCTGTGGATACCAGAGAGAAGCACATCCAGCAGAAAACAGTTACATGTTAAACAGATGTGTGTTATTGAACTTTCTTCATGGAATAAATTGGAATAAAGCCTCTAGGGGCGTGGCCTACGGGGGCGTGGCCTCCGGGGGCGTGGTCTCATTAGCAGCGTGCTCTTGTGCTTGTGGACGGGGGGAGAGAGAGGGGGAGGAGAGAGAGAGAGACGAGGAGAGAGAGACCATAGATAGACTGTATATAAACAACAGAGTCAGTATCTGCGCCGTTCAAACTAATGGGCCAAAAATGTGCTCTACTGGAGCTATCCAAAATGGCCGCGAGTGGTCCCGCCCACAAAGAAAATGGTGAAAAACACATCTGTGCATGCGTCAGCCGGAGAGAGCTCCATTCATTTAAACGAGAGACTTCTAAAGTCCACAGCGACTAAACTAGACTGGTCCAGAACACTCAGCATTGACACACATGTGGAACGGAGCTTTGGGCCAAGAGACACTGGACCATCCTGTAAAGACGTTTTTGAGAGGTAAGAAGATGCTATATGTTAGCATTGACTAATTCTTATTCTGGGTTGATAAAACTGTTTCAGCTACAGTTGAACCTGATTAAATCTCACACAACAAAGAGACAAAGTTAATCTTTTACTTGTTACATTGTACAAGGAGAATGTCTTGACAGAGGCACAGACCCAGCCTCTCTCACAGACCCAGCCTCTCTCACAGACCCAGCCTCTCTCACAGACCCAGCCTCTCTCACAGACCCAGCCTCTCTCACAGACCCAGCCTCTCTCACAGACCCAGCCTCTCTCACAGACCCAGCCTCTCTCAGGACACAGACCCAGCCTCTCTCAGGACACAGACCCTCTCTCAGGACACAGACCCAGCCTCTCTCACAGACCCAGCCTCTCTCACAGACCCAGCCTCTCTCAGGACACAGACCCAGCCTCTCTCAGGACACAGACCCTCTCTCAGGACACAGACCCAGCCTCTCTCACAGACCCAGCCTCTCTCACAGACCCAGCCTCTCTCACAGACCCAGCCTCTCTCAGGACACAGACCCAGCCTCTCTCAGGGCACAGACCCTCTCTCAGGACACAGACCCAGCCTCTCTCACAGACCCAGCCTCTCTCACAGACCCAGCCTCTCTCAGGACACAGACCCAGCCTCTCTCAGGACACAGACCCAGCCTCTCTCACAGACCCAGCCTCTCTCAGGACACAGACCCAGCCTCTCTCACAGACCCAGCCTCTCTCACAGACCCAGCCTCTCTCAGGACACAGACCCAGCCTCTCTCAGGGCACAGACCCTCTCTCAGGACACAGACCCAGCCTCTCTCACAGACCCAGCCTCTCTCACAGACCCAGCCTCTCTCAGGACACAGACCCAGCCTCTCTCAGGACACAGACCCAGCCTCTCTCAGGACAAGTCTGAAGATTCACAGTCCACAAGCCCCTTTTGGTAGAACAAGACACACCTTCGTTTGCAGATGGGAAAGGAAGAAACCAACACAACAAAGACACTCTGTATTATCGTAAACAAAGACTCCTCTGGTGTTTAACATATGAGCTCCCCAGACCTCCCGGTGTCTTCCTGGAGCTAAAGTGAATTACAATACAGAGCATTCAGCACATAGCCACATATGATTTACCAAAATGATAACTCAAGTTACATTCCAATATCATGGGTCCACCCCCACAGGCCCGGGGTGGTACTGCAGCATGTCAGGGTCCACCCCCACAGGCCCGGGGTGGTATTGCAGCATGTCAGGGTCCACCCCCACAGGCCCGGGGTGGTACTGCAGCATGTCAGGGTCCACCCCCACAGGCCCGGGGTGGTACTGCAGCATGTCAGCGCACGTCATTTTGGACACTTTTAAGCCGGGACCCTCTCCCACTGGGAGTGACAAGAGGAGGAGCAGGCCTGGGGCGAGAGGCCTGCAGCTCCCCATGTTCATGTTTAAGAGCTGGAGGTGCATTGTGGGTAGTGGGCGATGATGTGACCCTGTTAGAGATAACTCCACAAACTTGTGCAATATGTGCAATATGTGCAGTATGTGCAGTAATTCTAAAACGACTGTAGGTACAGGGCTAATATTACAGTATGTACATGTCACGGTGGTGTATATTCATGGGCTGAAAGGACAAGTTTGTACATGTCACGGTGGTGTATATTCATGGGCTGAAAGGACAAGTTTGTACATGTCACGGTGGTGTATATTCATGGGCTGAAAGGACAAGTTTGTACATGTCACGGTGGTGTATATTCATGGGCTGAAAGGACAAGTTTGTGTGACCTTTGCTTCTACCAAAAGTCAAGAAGAAAGACTGTCTAATTCCGTTTGGGCCCATTTTGCCATTACAAAGCAGGCCTGGTCTCTCTCTCTGGTCTCTCGCTAGTCTCTCTCTCTGGTCTCTCTCTCTGGTCTCTCTCTCTGGTCTCTCTCTGGTCTCTCTCTCTGGACTCTCTCTGGTCTCTCTCTGGTCTCTCTCTGGTCTCTCTCTCTGGTCTCTCTCTGGTCCCTCTCTGGTCTCTCTCTCTGGTCTCTCTCTGGTCTCTCTCTGGTCTCTCTCTCTGGTCTCTCTCTCTGGTCTCTCTCTGGTCTCTCTCTGGTCTCTCTCTCTGGTCTCTCTCTGGTCTCTCTCTCTGGTCTCTCTCTCTCTGGTCTCTCTCTGGTCTCTCTCTGGTCTCTCTCTCTGGTCTCTCTCTCTGGTCTCTCTCTGGGTCTCTCTCTGGTCTCTCTCTCTGGTCTCTCTCTGGTCTCTCTCTGGTCTCTCTCTGGTCTCTCTCTCTGGTCTCTCTCTGGTCTCTCTCTCTGGTCTCTCGCTAGTTTCTCTCTCTGGTCTCTCTCTCTGGTCTCTCTCTGGTCTCTCTCTCTGGTCTCTCTCTGGTCTCTCTCTGGTCTCTCTCTCTGGTCTCTCTTTGGTCTCTCTCTGGTCTCTCTCTGATCTCTCTCTGGTCCTTCTCTGGTCTCTCTCTCTGCTCCCTCTCTGGTCTCTCTCTGGTCTCTCTCTGGTCTCTCTCTCTGGTCTCTCTCTGGTCTCTCTCTGGTCTCTCTCTGGTCTCTCTCTGGTCTCTCTCTCTGGTCTCTCTCTGGTCTCTCTCTGGTCCCTCTCTGGTCTCTCTCTGGTCCTCTCTCTGGTCTCTCTCTGGTCTCTCTCTTGTCTCTCTCTCTGGTCTCTCTCTGGTCTCTCTCTGGTCTCTCTCTGGTCCCTCTCTGGTCTCTCTCTGGTCTCTCTCTGGTCTCTCTCTGGTCTCTCTCTGGTCTCTCTCTGGTCTCTCTCTGGTCTCTCTCTCTGGTCTCTCTCTCTGTTCTCTCTCTGGTCTCTCTCTGGTCTCTCTCTGGTCTCTCTCTGGTCTCTCTCTGGTCTCTCTCTGGTCTCTCTCTGGTCTCTCTCTTGTCTCTCTCTCTGGTCTCTCTCTGGTCTCTCTCTGGTCTCTCTCTGGTCCCTCTCTGGTCTCTCTCTGTTCTCTCTCTGGTCCCTCTCTGGTCCCTCTCTGTTCTCTCTCTGGTCTCTCTCTGGTCTCTCTCTGGTCTCTCTCTGGACCGTTAGTCGCTAGTCCCCTAACGGAAGAGGGGCTCCCCGCAGTACCGAAGGGCGCCACGGAGTGGCGTACGTCCCCACGAGAGGCCCCACCCACTTTCCCTCCCCTAGCTCCTCCCCTTCCATTAGGGTTCAAATTTGGTCCATTAGGGGCTAAGTGTCGGCCCAGTCCGGCCTCCGGTGGGTGTGTCCCTCGCCACCGTGCGACGCCGCCCACTCCGAGCGTTTCGCGCGTGGGCGCCATCCGCCATTCGGGCCCCTTTCCGTAACGTACCTTGCCGTCCTTTTTGTGCATGCTTCCTTTAGAACACCTTTTCTAGGCCCTAATGGCAGACATGAACATGCTGTGATAATATCTGCCATTGAGGCCCCATTACTATGCCCTAGTGACAGTAAACCCATTAGAGCCCCTTGACTAGGACTTAATGGAAGACATTCACAAACCCCATTTCTGGGTTCTGAACCATTTTAGCTTCAAGCTAGGAGGCTGAAAATTCAGTTTGGTCATCACAAGAGCGTGTTGAGCGCGTCGACACCAGCCACTTGGTCCAACTCCAAGGTCAAGGGGTCAAACCAGGGTGAGACGTGGGTCAGGCCTCTATTTCCGTTGCTTTTTGCCCATCATTTGAAAACGACTGTAGGTACGGGGCTGATTTTACTGTATGCACATGTCACGGTGGTGTATATTCATGGGCTGAAAGGACAAGTTTGTGTGACCTTTGCTTCTACCAAATGTCAAGTAAATAAGCACTTTTTGAGGCCTACATTCCATTAGGGGCCAATATCATTGTGGAATCAAGGCCCTAATGACAAAAGGTTCTATTCCTTTTGTGCTCTAAAAGATGGAAGACAACCATACTTTGACACAATTTTACACTATGTTACAGATCATCCTTTGCTCATTTCAGACGTTTTCGTCCCGTTTTGTTTTGACCACCAGAAATGTAGTTAGCGCCCCCTAGGTCCGTTGGACTGGAGACTTTGGAATCCTTTTCCCTTTCTATAGAAACAAGGATTCATGGAATTTCGTGTCATTTCGACCAAAATCCACAATTTCACGGACAGGCTGAAAACGGCGTTATTTTGAAGCCCTGCCTTTCAAAAACGACATGTCCGACAGACCTCTAACAAACGTTTTTGAACTCGTCTCGTCACTCTTAGCAACATACTACAAAGACAGCTTTCAAATACATGCAGAAATGTTTTTGACCACGATTTTCAAATTAATATGAGGATGGTGTCAGAGGCCTAGACCCTTACCCCATCTTAAAAGCCTGATTTACAGACAGCCAATTAAGTCCCCTGGGGGTCTCAGCTAAAATCCGACGCTGGATTATGATACAGGGCCCTCGTACCATTCTCTGTACCAAATTTGGTAGCCTTCGGGTCAAAGGTCAATCCATAGTGGCCGAAAAGCACTTGATAAAAATCAGGGCCCTAACGGAATTTTCATGTCCCAAACGGAAGATTGCAGCCCATTTCTGGGTTCTAAACCAGTTTAGCTTCAATCTGGGAGGCTGAAAATTCACTATGTTCATCAGCAGAGCGTGCCGAGCGCGTCGATACCAGCCACTTGGTCCAACTCCAAGAAAAAGGGGTCAAATCTGGACAAAAGACTTGAGCTTTAACGACTAAACTGCCAACGAAAATGGCGGGAAAACTCTCAAACTCCATAGTTTAAATTTGGTTAAAGCTACAAAGCCCATATTTTAGTATGTTGACCTTGGAGGACGCCTGCACCTGTGGTCCGAGAAGAACCGCGCAGTTCCAAGGTCGAGGGGTCAAACCAGGGTGACTATAGGGTCAGGGCTCTATTTCCGTTGCTTTTTCTCCATCATTTGAAAAGGACCATAGGTACAGGGCTAATATTACAGTATGTACATGTCACGGTGGTGTATATTCATGGGCTGAAAGGACAAGTTTGTACATGTCACGGTGGTGTATATTCATGGGCTGAAAGGACAAGTTTGTACATGTCACGGTGGTGTATATTCATGGGCTGAAAGGACAAGTTTGTACATGTCACGGTGGTGTATATTCATGGGCTGAAAGGACAAGTTTGTACATGTCACGGTGGTGTATATTCATGGGCTGAAAGGACAAGTTTGTACATGTCACGGTGGTGTATATTCATGGTCTGAAAGGACAAGTTTGTACATGTCACGGTGGTGTATATTCATGGGCTGAAAGGACAAGTTTGTGTGACCTTTGCTTCTACCAAAAGTCAAGAAGAAAGACTGTCTAATTCCGTTTGGGCCCATTTTGCCATTACGAAGCAGGCCCTAATGACAATCTCAGGTCTTAGACTTTTCTGCTCTTCTCTTTGACAAAAGCAGAAAAGCCTTTTCTGAATTTTTCAGCTGCCCATCCCCCCACACTGGCGTTGATTGACAGCCAGGGAGCCCTTTGAAGTATCAATTATCGTTCATAGATAAAAAACGGCTTAAGTTTCGAGGCTCAAAATTTGGAATGTTTATCGTGAGCAAGCGCTGAGTTGACTGACCGCTCCGATGTTGAGGGGTCAAAGGTCACGTTCCGTTTGGGACAAAGTGAGTGGGATTTTTTGGCCCCTAATGACAAACATCAGATGTGAAAAAAATCCTTGAGGCAGGTTTTTTTTGATTGGCCAATAGAGGCCCCTCCCACAATCAAATGATCAATTTTCCAATAATGACCCCTATTGGCAGAAATTTGGCCCCAATCGGCAGGGCCCAGAGGCTGGACATGCACTGTTAGCCCTTTGCAACCAATTTATTCCCTATTGGAAGAAGCCTAGGCCCTTACAGAAGGGGAGGGGCTAATTTTGGGAGGGGCTGGGCTAATTTGGGGGGGCGGGATCAACCGAGAAATAAGTGGATAGCGCCATCAACGGTCAGCAGACGGTCAGCGCAACTCTTAGGCCTCAAGGGCAAAATTTTAGGCCCTATCGGAAGGGTCAGGGGTCCCCAAATGAAAAAATCTTCCGTTATGGCCTAGGCGCCCCGTAATGGAAGGGGCCTCAAAGGCAAATTAGGTGCGTTTGGGCCTAGTCCTATCTTTTAACATGGGGAGATGGTCCCAAACGGAACCCTTTCCCTCAGGTCTCTCTCTGGTCTCTCTCTCTGGTCTCTCTCTGGTCTCTCCCTGGTCTCTCTGTCTGGTCTCTCTCTAGTCTCTCTCTCTGGTCTCTCTCTGGTCTCTCTCTCTCTGGTCTCTCTCTGGTCTCTCTCTCTGGTCTCTCTCTGGTCTCTCTCTCTGGTCTCTCTCTGGTCTCTCTCTGGTCTCTCTCTGGTCTCTCTCTGGTCTCTCTCTGGTCTCTCTCTGGTAAATATTAATATTCCCATGGTTCAAAAAGGCCAAAACAACTGATCCATTCCATGTTTTTTTATTTAGGATTTTAAAGTTTTTCTGTCAACGTTAAAAATCAGTACATTTTACAATGATTCAAAGTCCCAGAAAAAAAAGACAAAAACTACACCTTAAAGTCTGTGTTAGCATTAGCATCTGTATACAGTCTGTGTTAGCATTAGCATCTGTATACAGTCTGTGTTAGCATTATCATCTGTATACAGTCTGTGTTAGCATTAGCATCTGTATACAGTCTGTGTTAGCATGTAGCATCTGTATACAGTCTGTGTTAGCATTAGCATCTGTATACAGTCTGTGTTAGCATTAGCATCTGTATACAGTCTGTGTTAGCATTAGCATCTGTATACAGTCTGTGTTAGCATTATCCATTGGTTGAAAACATCACAATTAACTATTTTGTCAAAACCTGAAGCATTAAAAAGATCTATAACTATTTCCCAGAGATTCTGCCTCAACAAAACAAAGTCATGACACAAATCTGAGACAAACTGTTGAGGACAAACTGTTGAGGACAAACTGTTGAGGACAAACTGTTGAGGACAAACTGTTGAGGACAAACTGTTGAGGACAAACTGTTGAGGACAAACTGTTGAGGACAAAGTGTTATGTGAGTTCAGGGAAGTGTGCAGTGGATCCAGGATCACAGTAGAGCCAGAGTCCAGCGTGAAGCGGCTGAGAGAAGGTGGTCTCTTCTCTGTGGATCAGCCTCATGTTTGTTAAAGAGACGTCGTAAAAAGACAAGACCCCAGCACTGTGGTCCAGGAAAACCCCGACTCTGGACCCGACCGGACCTGAGACCTGGGTCCGGACTGAGTTAAACCTGAATGAAGGACTGGTTTCATCACAGACTAAGACCCAGGATTTATCATTGTTTCCAAATCTACATTCATCAGAGTCTTTCCTCTGAATATCTCTGTAAGAAACTGCGATAACAACAAAACTCTCTGAGCTCCACTCCACCTCCCAGTAACAGCGCCCACTCACTCTCTCTCTGCTCAGGACCTGCCACCGCCCTCTGAATCTGTCCTGATGATCTGGATACTCTTGAGGTTCACTCATAAATGTGACTCTTCTGTTTCCATCAGACAGAGACAGACGTGTGTGAGCTGTGTTTGGATCCAGAGTGAAGTCTGTAGAGTACTGTAAGAACTGGTCTCTGGTCCTGGGTCCTGACACTGAAGACAGGACTGGTTTGTAGATCGGGGCCTCGTTTCCTCGTGGACGCTTGTTGGACTTCTTCTTCTTGGGCTTTTCCTGTGAGTTTGCTGCGTGTGTCTGAGGTTCTGGTCTCAGTGAGAACCCGTCTCTGGTCCTGGGTTCTGTGGTTAAAGTCTGGACCGGACTCAGAGCCAGAGAGATGTTGCTGTGTCCCTCCTCCACAGTGAGCTGCAGTCTCTCCCTGAGCTCGGACACAGCTCTGCTCACCTCCTCAAAGGGGCTCCTGGTCTCTGTGAGGCCCCTGACTGGGACTGGCCCCTCTGTGAGGCCCCTGACTGGGACTGGCCCCTCTGTGAGGCCCCTGGTCAGTGCAGTGTGGAGCTGTATAAAGCTGTTGTGGTCTTTGGTGAGGGACAGTGTGTCCAGGTCACAGAGGCGCTGCTGCAGCTCACTCAGCTCCTGCTTCACTCGGTCTTGGATCTCTCGGACTCGGCTCAGTCCTCTCTCGAGCTCGGACTGGATCTGCTGCTCCACTTCTTTGGCTCTTGTCTCCAGGAGAAGGATGATATCTTTGAAGCTGTCCCTGCTGAGCTGCAGTGCTGTGTGGGCAGAGGTCCTGAGGTCCTGCTCCTGCTGTTGGAGGGAGGTCCTCTCTGTGTCTTTGTGCTGGAGGTTCTGGAGGAGCAGGTCCCTCTGGGCCTCCAGCTGGGCCTCCCTCAGGGCCCTCTCTGAGGCTGAGGACACAGTCTCATGGTCCCTGTGTGTCTCCAGGCAGCAGACCAGACACAGGAGCTGTCCGTCAGAGCGACAGAACACCTTCTTCAGCTCGTTGTGCTCAGAGCACATGTTTTCCTGCAGGGTGTGCGATGGCGCCACCAGCTGGTGTCTTTGAAGCACTGCAGAGTCATAATGAGGCTGTAGGTGGCGCTCACAGAAGGAGGCCACACACTGTAGACAGGACTGGACCGCCTTCAGCTTTACCCCAGAGCAGTCATCACAGGAGACGTCCTGAGGCCCACAGAGGTCCTGAGGGTCAGCAGGGGGCGCTGCAGGCCCAGCACAGAGGACAGCAGGGGGCGCTGTGCTCCTCTGCTCCACTACAGCTGCTAACAGGAGGTTCTTACTCAGCACAGGCCTGGGGGTGAAGCTCACACGACACTCGGGACAGGTGTAGAGCCGCTGCTCCTCCTCCGTGTCCCAGTGGTCCTGGACACACTTCAGGCAGTAGTTGTGTCCACAGCTCAGAGTCACAGGAGTCTGCAGTAAATCCAAACACACAGGACACAGGAACAACTCTGTCTGCGCCATGGCTGCTGCTGCTCTCACTGACACGGAAACAACACTTACTGTAAGAGAGAGAGAGGAGGAGGGAGGGGAGAGAGGAGGAGGGAGGGAGGGAGGGAGGGGCCTGTGTGTGTGTGTGTGTGTCTGTGTGTGTGTGTGTGTGTCTGTGTGTGTGTGGGTGTGTGTCTGTGTGTGTGTGTGTGTGTGTGTCTGTGTGTGTGTGTGTGTGTCTGTGTGTGTGTGTCTGTGTGTGTGTGTGTGTGTGTGTGTGTGTGTGTGTGTGTGTGTGTGTGTGTGTGTGTGTGTGTGTGTGTGTGTGTGTGTGTGTGTGTCTGTGTGTGTGTGTGTGTGTGTGTGTGTGTGTGTGTGTGTGTGTGTGTGTGTCTGTGTGTGTGTGTGTGTGTCTGTGTGTGTGTGTGTGTGTCTGTGTGTGTGTGTGTGTCTGTGTGTGTGTGTCTCTGGTGTCTCTCTGGTCTCTCTCTGGTCTCTCTCTGGTCTCTCTCTGGTCTCTCTCTGGTGTCTCTCTGGTCTCTCTCTGGTCTCTCTCTATGGTCTCTCTCTCTGGTCTCTCTCTGGTCTCTCTGGTCTCTCTGGTCTCTCTCTGGTCTCTCTCTGGTCTCTCTCTGGTCTCTCTCTGGTCTCTCTCTGGTCTTCCTCAGGTTTGGATCATAGTCTTTATTGTTTGGATACAGAGCAAACATCATTAAAGCTGGTCTCTCTCTGGTCTCTCTCTGGTCTCTCTCTGGTGTCTCTCTGGTCTCTCTCTGGTCTCTCTCTGGTCTCTCTCTCTGGTCTCTCTCTGGTCTCTCTCTGGTCTCTCTCTCTGGTCTCTCTCTATGGTCTCTCTATGGTCTCTCTCTGGTCTCTCTCTCTGGTTTCTCTCTGGTCTCTCTCTGGTCTCTCTCTGGTCTCTCTCTCTCTGGTCTCTCTCTGGTCTCTCTCTGGTCTCTCTCTCTGGTCTCTCTATGGTCTCTCTCTGGTCTCTCTCTCTGGTCTCTCTCTGGTCTCTCTCTGGTCTCTCTCTGGTCTCTCTCTGGTCTCTCTCTCTGGTCTCTCTCTCTGGTCTCTCTCTGGTCTCTCTCTGGTCTCTCTCTGGTCTCTCTCTCTGGTCTCTCTCTGGTCTCTCTCTGGTCTCTCTCTGGTCTCTCTCTCTGGTCTCTCTCTGGTCTTTCTCTGGTCTCTCTCTGTTCTCTCTCTCTGGTCTCTCTCTCTGGTCTCTCTCTGTTGTCTCTCTCTGGTCTCTCTCTCTGGTCTCTCTCTGGTCTCTCTCTCTCTGGTCTCTCTGGTCCCTCTCTGGTCTCCCTCTGGTCTCAGATACATTGAGTTTGAAACCCCTGCAGTGAACTCACACGTTACACACAATAACCACAAACTCACACATAGTCAGATGTTTAATGGTTGTCATGGGAACACTCTCTCTGGTCTCTCTCCTTGATGGTCTCTCTCTCGATGGTCATGCCTGTGATGGGAACTCTGCATACTTGTTCCCGCTGGGCTGAACCACCAGGGCCTCTCCGGTCCTGGTGTGGTCTGAGAGCAGCTCCATCAGACTCTGGGCCACGTCACCAACTCTGGAACCACAGGATGTTATCACAGCCACAAACACTGCAACAGTCTCTAACAGTCTCTGACAGTCTCTAACAGTCTCTAACGGTCTCTAACAGTCTCTAACAGTCTCTGACAGTCTCTGACAGTCTCTAACAGTCTCTAACAGTCTCTAACAGTCTCTAACAGTCTCTAACGGTCTCTAACAGTCTCTGACAGTCTCTAACAGTCTCTAACAGTCTCTGACAGTCTCTGACAGTCTCTAACAGTCTCTGACAGTCTCTAACAGTCTCTAACGGTCTCTAACAGTCTCTGACAGTCTCTAACAGTCTCTGACAGTCTCTAACAGTCTCTGACAGTCTCTAACAGTCTCTAACAGTCTCTGACAGTCTCTGACAGTAGAACAGTCTCTAACAGTCTCTGACAGTCTCTGACAGTCTCTAACGGTCTCTAACAGTCTCTAACAGTCTCTAACAGTCTCTAACAGTCTCTAACAGTCTCTGACAGTCTCTAACAGTCTCTGACAGTCTCTAACAGTCTCTAACAGTCTCTAACAGTCTCTAACAGTCTCTAACAGTCTCTGTCAGTCTCTAACAGTCTCTGACAGTCTCTAACAGTCTCTGACAGTCTCTAACAGTCTCTGACAGTCTCTGACAGTCTCTAACAGTCTCTAACAGTCTCTAACAGTCTCTAACAGTCTCTAACAGTCTCTGACAGTCTCTAACAGTCTCTAACGGTCTCTAACGGTCTCTAACAGTCTCTGACAGTCTCTGACAGTCTCTGACAGTCTCTGACAGTCTCTAACAGTCTCTAACGGGCTCTGACAGTCTCTGACAGTCTCTGACAGTCTCTAACAGTCTCTAACAGTCTCTGACAGTCTCTAACGGTCTCTAACAGTCTCTAACAGTCTCTAACAGTCTCTGACAGTCTCTGACAGTCTCTAACGGTCTCTAACGGTCTCTAACGGTCTCTAACGGTCTCTAACGGTCTCTAACGGTCTCTAACGGTCTCTAACAGTCTCTAACAGTCTCTAACGGTCTCTAACAGTCTCTAACAGTAGAACAGTCTCTAACAGTCTCTAACGGTCTCTAACGGTCTCTAACAGTCTCTAACAGTAGAACAGTCTCTAACAGTAGAACAGTCTCTAACAGTCTCTAACGGTCTCTAACGGTCTCTAACAGTCTCTAACAGTCTCTAACAGTAGAACAGTCTCTAACAGTCTCTAACGGTCTCTAACAGTCTCTAACAGTAGAACAGTCTCTAACAGTAGAACAGTCTCTAACGGTCTCTAACGGTCTCTAACGGTCTCTGACGGTCTCTAACAGTCTCTGACAGTCTCTAACGGTCTCTAACGGTCTCTAACAGTAGAACAGTCTCTAACAGTAGAACAGTCTCTAACAGTAGAACAGTCTCTAACGGTCTCTAACGGTCTCTAACGGTCTCTAACGGTCTCTGACGGTCTCTAACAGTCTCTGACAGTCTCTAACGGTCTCTAACGGTCTCTAACAGTAGAACAGTCTCTAACAGTAGAACAGTCTCTAACAGTAGAACGGTCTCTAACAGTCTCTAACGGTCTCTGACGGTCTCTAACAGTCTCTGACGGTCTCTAACAGTCTCTAACGGTCTCTGACAGTCTCTAACGGTCTCTGACGGTCTCTGACAGTCTCTAACGGTCTCTGACGGTCTCTAACGGTCTCTGACGGTCTCTGACGGTCTCTAACGGTCTCTAACGGTCTCTGACAGTCTCTGACAGTCTCTGACGGTCTCTGACAGTCTCTGACGGTCTCTAACAGTCTCTAACAGTCTCTAACAGTCTCTAACGGCCTCTAACGGTCTCTAACGGTCTCTGACGGTCTCTAACGGTCTCTGACGGTCTCTAACAGTCTCTGACGGTCTCTGACGGTCTCTGACGGCCTCTAACAGTCTCTAACGGCCTCTAACAGTCTCTAACAGTCTCTAACGGCCTCTAACGGCCTCTGACGGTCTCTGACGGTCTCTGACGGTCTCTGACTGTCTCTAACGGCCTCTAACGGCCTCTAACGGCCTCTGACGGTCTCTGACGGTCTCTAACGGCCTCTAACGGCCTCTAACGGCCTCTGACGGTCTCTGACGGTCTCTGACGGTCTCTAACGGCCTCTAACGGCCTCTGACGGTCTCTGACGGTCTCTAACAGTCTCTGACAGTCTCTGACGGTCTCTGACTGTCTCTGACTGTCTCTGACGGTCTCTGACGGTCTCTAACAGTCTCTGACGGTCTCTAACAGTCTCTGACGGTCTCTGACGGTCTCTAACGGTCTCTAACGGTCTCTAACGGTCTCTAACGGTCTCTAACCCTAACCCTGTCTCAGAGACACACACCACTGAGAGACACACAACACTCAAAGGCACACAACCCTCAGAGACACACAACACTGAGAGACACACAACACTCAGAGACACACAATCTTCAGAGACACACAACACTCAGACACACAACTCTCAGAGACACACAACACTCAGAGACACACAACCTTCAGAGACACACAACACTCACAGACACACAACTCTCAGAGACACACAACACTGAGAGACACACAACACTCAGAGACACACAACCCTCAGAGGCACACAACCCTCAGAGACACACAACATTCAGAGACACACAACCCTCAGAGACACACAACCTCTCAGAGACACACAACACTCAGAGACACACAACACTCACAGACACACAACCCTCAGAGACACACAACACTCACGGACACACAACCCTCAGAGACACACAACCTCTCAGAGACACACAACACTCACGGACACACAACCCTCAGAGACACACAACACTCACAGACGCACAACCCTCAGAGACGCACAACCCTCAGAGACACACAACACTCACAGACACACAACCCTCAGAGACACACAACCCTCAGAGACACACAACACTCAGAGACACACAACCCTCAGAGGCACACAACCCTCAGAGACACACAACCCTCAGAGACACACAGCACTCAGAGACACACAACCCTCACAGACACACAAAACTCAGAGACACACAACCCTCACAGACACACAACACTCAGAGACACACGACACTCACAGACACACAACCCTCACAGACACACAACCCTCAGAGACGCACACGTACTTCATGATCCCAAAGTTGTGTACCAGTCTCAGGGTCAGGTCCTTCAGGTCTGAGAACTTCCCGAGTCTCAGTGGAATGTTGGAGAACAGGTGTGTGTCCACGAAGCCCGGGCAGAGGGCGTTAAAGCGGACGCCATAGTCCAGTCCCAGAGACGCCATCTGCAGACGCACAACCATGTCAGAGACGCACAACCATGTTAGAGACGCACAACCATTACAGACGCACAACCATGTCAGAGACGCACAACCATGTCAGAGACGCACAATCATGTCAGAGACGCACAACCATGTTAGAGACGCACAACCATGTCAGAGACGCACAACCATGTCAGAGACGCACAACCATGTTAGAGACGCACAACCATTACAGACGCACAACCATGTCAGAGACGCACAACCATGTTAGAGACGCACAACCATGTTAGAGACGCACAACCATGTCAGAGACGCACAACCATGTCAGAGACGCACAACCATGTCAGAGACGCACAACCATGTCAGAGACGCACAATCATGTCAGAGACGCACAACCATGTCAGAGACGCACAACCATGTCAGAGACGCACAACCATTACAGACGCACAACCATGTCAGAGATGCACAACCATGTCAGAGACGCACAATCATGTCAGAGACGCACAACCATGTTAGAGACGCACAACCATGTCAGAGACGCACAACCATGTCAGAGACGCACAACCATGTCAGAGACGCACAATCATGTCAGAGACGCACAACCATTACAGACGCACAACCATGTCAGAGACGCACAACCATGTTAGAGACGCACAACCATGTTAGAGACGCACAACCATGTCAGAGACGCACAACCATGTCAGAGACGCACAACCATGTCAGAGACGCACAACCATGTCAGAGACGCACAATCATGTCAGAGACGCACAACCATGTCAGAGACGCACAACCATGTCAGAGACGCACAACCATTACAGACGCACAACCATGTCAGAGATGCACAACCATGTCAGAGACGCACAATCATGTCAGAGACGCACAACCATGTTAGAGACGCACAACCATGTCAGAGACGCACAACCATGTCAGAGACGCACAACCATGTCAGAGACGCACAATCATGTCAGAGACGCACAACCATGTCAGAGACGCACAACCATGTCAGACGCACAACCATGTCAGAGACGCACAATCATGTCAGAGACGCACAACCATGTCAGAGACGCACAATCATGTCAGAGACGCACAACCATGTCAGAGACGCACAATCATGTCAGAGACGCACAATCATGTCAGAGACGCACAACCATGTCAGAGACGCACAACCATGTCAGAGACGCAAAATCATGTCAGAGACGCACAATCATGTCAGAGACGCACAACCATGTCAGAGACGCACAATCATGTCAGAGACGCACAATCATGTTAGAGACGCACAACCATGTCAGAGACGCACAATCATGTCAGAGACGCACAACCATGTCAGAGACGCACAACCATGTCAGAGACGCACAATCATGTCAGAGACGCACAACCATGTCAGAGACGCACAATCATGTTAGAGACGCACAACCATGTTAGAGCCGCACAACCATGTTAGAGACGCACAACCATGTCAGAGACGCACAACCATGTCAGAGACGCACAACCATGTCAGAGCCGCACAACCATGTTAGAGCCGCACAACCATGTTAGAGACGCACAACCATGTTAGAGCCGCACAACCATGTCAGAGACGCACAACCATGTCAGAGCCGCACAACCATGTTAGAGACGCACAATCATGTCAGAGACGCACAACCATGTCAGAGACGCACAATCATGTCAGAGACGCACAACCATGTCAGAGCCGCACAACCATGTTAGAGCCGCACAACCATGTCAGAGACGCACAACCATGTCAGAGATGCACAACCATTTCAGAGACGCACAATCATGTCAGAGACGCACAACCATGTCAGAGACGCACAATCATGTTAGAGACGCACAACCATGTTAGAGACGCACAACCATGTTAGAGCCGCACAACCATGTCAGAGACGCACAACCATGTCAGAGACGCACAACCATGTCAGAGATGCACAACCATTTCAGAGACGCACAATCATGTCAGAGACGCACAACCATGTCAGAGATGCACAACCATTTCAGAGACGCACAATCATGTCAGAGACGCATAACCATGTTAGAGACGCACAACCATGTCAGAGACGCACAATCATGTTACAGACGCACAACCATGTTAGAGACTCACAACCATGTCAGAGACGCACAACCATGTTAGAGACGCACAACCATGTTAGAGACGCATAACCATGTCAGAGACGCACAACCATGTCAGAGACGCACAACCATGTCAGAGACGCACAATCATGTCAGAGACGCACAACCATGTCAGAGACGCACAACCATGTCAGACGCACAACCATGTCAGAGACGCACAATCATGTCAGAGACGCACAACCATGTCAGAGACGCACAATCATGTCAGAGACGCACAACCATGTCAGAGACGCACAATCATGTCAGAGACGCACAATCATGTCAGAGACGCACAACCATGTCAGAGACGCACAACCATGTCAGAGACGCAAAATCATGTCAGAGACGCACAATCATGTCAGAGACGCACAACCATGTCAGAGACGCACAATCATGTCAGAGACGCACAATCATGTTAGAGACGCACAACCATGTCAGAGACGCACAATCATGTCAGAGACGCACAACCATGTCAGAGACGCACAACCATGTCAGAGACGCACAATCATGTCAGAGACGCACAACCATGTCAGAGACGCACAACCATGTCAGAGACGCACAATCATGTTAGAGACGCACAACCATGTTAGAGCCGCACAACCATGTTAGAGACGCACAACCATGTCAGAGACGCACAACCATGTCAGAGACGCACAACCATGTCAGAGCCGCACAACCATGTTAGAGCCGCACAACCATGTTAGAGACGCACAACCATGTTAGAGCCGCACAACCATGTCAGAGACGCACAACCATGTCAGAGCCGCACAACCATGTTAGAGACGCACAATCATGTCAGAGACGCACAACCATGTCAGAGACGCACAATCATGTCAGAGACGCACAACCATGTTAGAGCCGCACAACCATGTTAGAGCCGCACAACCATGTCAGAGACGCACAACCATGTCAGAGATGCACAACCATTTCAGAGACGCACAATCATGTCAGAGACGCACAACCATGTCAGAGACGCACAATCATGTTAGAGACGCACAACCATGTTAGAGACGCACAACCATGTTAGAGCCGCACAACCATGTCAGAGACGCACAACCATGTCAGAGACGCACAACCATGTCAGAGATGCACAACCATTTCAGAGACGCACAATCATGTCAGAGACGCACAATCATGTCAGAGACGCACAACCATGTCAGAGACGCACAACCATGTCAGAGACGCACAATCATGTCAGAGACGCACAACCATGTCAGAGACGCACAACCATGTTAGAGACGCACAACCATGTCAGAGACGCACAACCATGTCAGAGACGCACAACCATGTTAGAGACGCACAACCATTACAGACGCACAACCATGTCAGAGACGCACAACCATGTTAGAGACGCACAACCATGTTAGAGACGCACAACCATGTCAGAGACGCACAACCATGTCAGAGACGCACAACCATGTCAGAGACGCACAACCATGTCAGAGACGCACAATCATGTCAGAGACGCACAACCATGTCAGAGACGCACAACCATGTCAGAGACGCACAACCATTACAGACGCACAACCATGTCAGAGATGCACAACCATGTCAGAGACGCACAATCATGTCAGAGACGCACAACCATGTTAGAGACGCACAACCATGTCAGAGACGCACAACCATGTCAGAGACGCACAACCATGTCAGAGACGCACAATCATGTCAGAGACGCACAACCATTACAGACGCACAACCATGTCAGAGACGCACAACCATGTTAGAGACGCACAACCATGTTAGAGACGCACAACCATGTCAGAGACGCACAACCATGTCAGAGACGCACAACCATGTCAGAGACGCACAACCATGTCAGAGACGCACAATCATGTCAGAGACGCACAACCATGTCAGAGACGCACAACCATGTCAGAGACGCACAACCATTACAGACGCACAACCATGTCAGAGATGCACAACCATGTCAGAGACGCACAATCATGTCAGAGACGCACAACCATTTTAGAGACGCACAACCATGTCAGAGACGCACAACCATGTCAGAGACGCACAACCATGTCAGAGACGCACAATCATGTCAGAGACGCACAACCATGTCAGAGACGCACAACCATGTCAGACGCACAACCATGTCAGAGACGCACAATCATGTCAGAGACGCACAACCATGTCAGAGACGCACAATCATGTCAGAGACGCACAACCATGTCAGAGACGCACAATCATGTCAGAGACGCACAATCATGTCAGAGACGCACAACCATGTCAGAGACGCACAACCATGTCAGAGACGCAAAATCATGTCAGAGACGCACAATCATGTCAGAGACGCACAACCATGTCAGAGACGCACAATCATGTCAGAGACGCACAATCATGTTAGAGACGCACAACCATGTCAGAGACGCACAATCATGTCAGAGACGCACAACCATGTCAGAGACGCACAACCATGTCAGAGACGCACAATCATGTCAGAGACGCACAACCATGTCAGAGACGCACAACCATGTCAGAGACGCACAATCATGTTAGAGACGCACAACCATGTTAGAGCCGCACAACCATGTTAGAGACGCACAACCATGTCAGAGACTTACAACCATGTCAGAGACGCACAACCATGTCAGAGCCGCACAACCATGTTAGAGCCGCACAACCATGTTAGAGACGCACAACCATGTTAGAGCCGCACAACCATGTCAGAGACGCACAACCATGTCAGAGCCGCACAACCATGTTAGAGACGCACAATCATGTCAGAGACGCACAACCATGTCAGAGACGCACAATCATGTCAGAGACGCACAACCATGTTAGAGCCGCACAACCATGTTAGAGCCGCACAACCATGTCAGAGACGCACAACCATGTCAGAGATGCACAACCATTTCAGAGACGCACAATCATGTCAGAGACGCACAACCATGTCAGAGACGCACAATCATGTTAGAGAC